GCTAGGACTTTGGCTGCGGGGGAGAGGAGAATGGGGGCGTACGCGCCCCCTGCTGGGAGGCTGGGGACGAAGCCCTAGGGCCTCGGGTCTGTAGAAGTGGAGCCGAGACCAGGATGAATCCCCTTAGGGTCTGTAGCCTAGTGCGCCTCCTATTGGATTAAAGCGATACTCGCTTCTGTTGCCGGATCTCTTAAATGAAATCTAACCGGAGAACATCAAACCCAGAAAAGCTCCAAGGCTGGGCAAGCCCGAAGGGAGCCAGAGGAAGTTCAAGGAGTCCGGGTTTTACTGCGGATTCTTTGGCGCTAGCTCCCAGCTGACAAATCAACATCTCAATCTGACAATTAGTAGTGGAGGTGCGGGGAGAGGGGCTCTCGCCGCCTGGGCCGCTTAGCCCTCCCGGCGGGCGGCAGAGAGGTGGGCGGTGCTGGCAGTGATGAACGACTCCGGGGGGGCCCCGGGCCCCGAGCGCGCATTCATTACTCGACTGACAGGCGGGCGGCAGGCCGGGCGGGCCGCGAGTGGACGTGCCAGGAAAAAGGCAGAGGCAAGAGCAAGATTAAGAGAGGTGTATAGCAGCCCAGTGCCCGGCAGCTCCCGGTTCTTCACCTCGACCCTGGTACTTGACTTCCTTGAGCTCAGCGTTTTTGTTGGAGCTGGCCGTGGTCGCAGAATTTGGGTAGCGGGGACAGGGGTTTAAGCCTTCTGCTTAGGTTAGGCGAATGAAGGTCTAAGATGTCAAGAAAGTGTGTAGACAGGCTTTAAGACTAGGCGCTCCCGCCTGACCTCGGAGGAATTGTGCGTGTCTGCGCACACAGGGGTGGTGTGTTGTGACAGGGATTGATGGGTGTGGGTCGCGTGTGGGGGTCGGCGATTGTGTGTGTCAGTATTAGGGATGTGTCGGCCTGATTTTGTCAGCGGAGGTGTAAGTGCTGCGTGTGTCTGAGGAGGAGCTGCCACCGCTCCCTGCGTGTCTGTGTCCCACCACCCCCCCTCCCTTGCTGTCAGCTCTCTGTCTCCACTTCTGTAGGAAACAGCAGTGTGCCCGGTGACAGCTGAGGTGTGCTGCTGGGGGTGGGGGGATAGTGTTAACTGTGAGGCTGCTGGTTCAACAACTGCTTCCCTCCACCACCTCCACCCCAAACATCATTGCTCTCTCAATGCTTTTTCCGAAGTCTGGGGACCTGGCTGCTAAGTCCTGGGGAAGGAAGTGATGACTACCAGAGTTTTCTACCTTCCACATACTTGTATACATATACGCAGTCTCCATCTCATATATAGTCGCTAATATAAGATGTGATCTACAACCCCTTTGGCCTCCCCAGGCTGCTGGTGGATAGAGAGGAGGAGGTAGATCTCAGGAAGGGAAAGGGCAGACCATCAGACCTCTAAGAGAGCCCACATCTTTGGGGCCTAGGCTAGTCTTCCAGGATCCTTACCTTTTGGGTTTCAGGTCCAATTACTAGTTGACACCTTAGGAGAATGTCCTAATTATATTCTAATTCCTTTCCCTAATAACCCTCTTTCTTCACCTGACTTTGTCTCCACTCTCCTTCCCCCTCTCAAACACACCAGAAGGTTGACCTTTCCATTCCTGAATCTTCCAGGCCTACAGAGCAGAGAGTTGACACGATTCTGGGTCTCTGGTCCTCTGTTTTGGTCAATGTGTCTTTGAGCCACTTGCCCTTCGCTTGCTCTTCTTTAAACATAGGGTGTCTCTTGGAACCCTCTCTGTTTTTGTCTCTGCACCCCTTTGTGTCTGTATATCTCCAGGTTTAGGAATCTCTTCCAAATTCCCCCCCCCCCCACATTTAGGGGTCTCCCTTTGTTTCTTTGGGGCTTCACCCTCTCGGCATACCCAACGCAGCAGTGAGGCCCCTGGGGACGGGGAAGGGAGTAGAACTTCCTTCCTGCACCCATCCAGAGGCGACTGCAGCCTAAGGATGGCTAGGTAATGCCAGGGCCCTGACACGACCGGGTCGCTTCTCATTCAGGGCACAGACACCTGGTCGATGCCCGGCTGTCCGCCCCTCTCCCCACCCACCAGCCGCCCTCCTCCAAGCCCCCGCCCCCTCCGCCCGCCCGGAAAAGGCAAATTTGACATTTTTAAATCCCGAGCCTTGGAGGGATCGATGCGGCCCCGGGGCCCCGCCCGGGGTCGATATTCCTGATTGGGAAGCGGCCACTGAGCGGAGCGCGCGTGTAAATCACCCGGACTGGGGGAGGGGGCGCGGGAGCCGACCGCTTCCCAGACGCTGGGAGCCACGCGAGGTCCCGGCCCGACCCCACCCCAGGGCAATGGAATGAGGAGAGAGATAGGCCTTAGACCCGGAGACAAGCCAGCCCTTGGACTCCCGCCTCCCCCGCCCATCTCTAACTCTGTGGGCCGGCTCCGGTCTCGCTTCAGCGGCCGCCACCCTCCGTTGCCCCTGGAGCCGCCGGGGAGGCCGGTGTCGGAGCCAGCCATGCGGCGGCTTCTCTCCGGCCGCTCCCGCGGGGCCTGGGCTTCGGCGGCGGCTGTCACGAAGCCGACAGGCCGGGCCGGCCGGGAAGGGGAGGGTGGCGGGGGAGAGGTGGGGGGACGGCTGGCGCGGATATGGCTCACAGTGGGCGCGCAACAGATGTTTGCGGGATTGAGGGACAGCAAGGCGGCGTGGGCACCGCGCGGCGCTGAGCCGGGGCTGAAGGCGGGGGTGGGGGGCGGGGGCAGTCCAGACCTGTCGGGGGTGAGAATCTGGCCTTCTAGCGGGGGTGAGCAGGTGCCCCTGGCACTCAGGGGAGGCTGAGTTGGATAGACCACCCCCCACCCCGCCCCCGGTCCGTGGACCAGGGTAGCAGAGAACAAAAGATATTGGGGGTGAGAAGGCAAGTTCGGACCCCACCTACGGCCGCTTCCGCCGCTCCTGCCCTCCAAGCCTCTCATCTCTCGGCTGGAGAAACCGAGGCAGCGGAGGCTGAGAAGGGACAGGATGGTTAAAAGCGATGTCAGCCACGAGGCTGGGGGTAGCAACCAGAATTCCCGCTTGAGTCTCTGAATTCACCTACCCGTCCCCAGTCCTCTTGCGGGTAAATACACCGCCACGTTCCCCGTGCCCCCACCCCGCCCCCCCGCCACCGCAGCTCAGACCCTTCCCTCCTGCTTCAGCGTGTCAGATCACCGCCCCCCCACCCCGCGCCAATCCCCACCCCGCGCCAGTTTATAGAACAACAATTTGGGGAAAACAATCCAGGCCGAGTGACGGCCCCGTAATTGTGACAAAGTGAGTGCGGGCGGCTGGAGAGCGCGCTCAGGCGGGAGCGCGGCGGGGCGAGGCGGAGGTAGGGGCGCCTCCAGTTCGCCCCCCCCCCCTTCTCATTCCGGTCGTCTCCCACCCCTCTCCTTGACCCTTCTCCAATTTTTCTTCTCTCAGCTCCTCGCGCCTCCCCTCGCTCGTTCCTCCATCGCTCTTTCCCTTTCCTCTCGGTAACTGCTCTTCTCCAGCCCCAGCCCCGCCGCAGCCCCTCCCCCGGTGTGCTTTTTTTCCCCTCTCGCTTCTCGCTGTCTCCTCCGCCCTCCACTTGTTTCTCCATCTTTTCCTCGTGCTAGTCGCCCTTGGGACCCTGGCCCCCAGCCCACAAATCCGCTTCTCTCCCTCCCCAGTCCTGGCTTCCTGAAGTCGAGCCCTGAGCTTCCTCCCGGGTCCCCACCTTCTGGGAGGCCTGCGCTGCCCGGCACACAGTGGGTTCCTCCCACCCCCTCGGCGACAGCCCCCAGGCCCAGGCGGGCTGCCTCTCCCCTCCCGCTGGGCTGCCTCTCTCCTCCCGCTCCGTAGCTGCCTCTCCCACCCTATCTCTGCGCCCGGAGCCAGTTTGTTTGTCCAGCGGCGGCCTCGGCCGCTCGAGCTGTTTGCGGAGCTTAGCGCGCCGCGGCGCAGTGCCGGCCCAATTAAGTCTCATTCATTATTCAGCGCCCCGGTGCTCCCGCGCCCAGCAGCTGGCGGCTCCAGCGTCGCTTTGATGCCCCTCCCGGCCCTGGCCCCTCCGTGAGTCCTAGGGAGCAGACAAGGGGACCTGCTTTCCCTCCCTGGACCAGGAAGAGGACCGAAGGGGCGGAGGGAACAGAATCTGTCGACTGCGGGGAGGCGACAGGGGCAAGCCCTCCAGGCCCACCCCACCCCCAAGTCAAAGATGGGGAAACTTGAAGATCCACTCTTTTTCTTTACAGAGGAGGAAACAGGCCCACCCCACCTCCCCAAAGCCAAGGTCACGTAGCAGCGTTGAAGCCCACGACATTGAAATGAGGGGATCTTGCATCCCACTTCCATCCCAGCATTGAGGCGGGAGGACGCCGCAGACTAGTCTCCTGGTGGGGATGTCCTCACCCCTATCCTTTTTTGCTCCTGGTTCTCTCTCGCGCCAAAGTCAGTGATGTACAGCTGACTTGGGGTTCCTGAGGGATTCTCAGGTCTCTGGCTTGGATCTAGATGTATTGCCCCCGACTGGCGGGCCTGGAGGCGGGGCAGTGAGGAAACTTGAGGGGAGAGCCTCTCTCTGCAGCCGGTACCCTGGTGTCTCTCCCTTAGGCAAATTGGAAATGAAGCCATCCAAGGCAGTCTTGAACGGCAATGGAATAGGGAGAGAGGACTGAAGCCTGAGGTGAGGGAAGAGTCACCCTCCCATTTGTGAGGCTGCAAAGCGGTGATCAAGGGCTTCTTTTTTGCTTTTATAGGCCCCCCACCCCGCCCCGCCTCGCCCTGGGCTGCTTTGCCCCAGCATCTAGACAAGGTGCGTCTAGGGATCCGCCCGACACCTCCCGTCCGCAAGCGGCAGCGCCACCTGGTGGTCGTTCTGTAGTAATGTAGGCGCTCTTGGCCTGGAGTGGGCGCTGCGCTAGCCGGGTTGAGCCTGGGGAGGTGGAATGCGCCAGAAAAACCTAAAAGGAAGTTTACCCGAGAGGGCAGGCGAGTGAGCCCCAGCCTGAAAGGTGATCCCTAAAGGGCGGGGGAGGGCCTTGGGGAGGAGGGGCCTGGCCAGGACGGCCCAACTTCCGTGACACAGCAAACGCTGAAAGACAAAGTCCACTTGGATGGAAGTGGGAGCGGAATGAGAGGGGCCATTTTGACTGTGGTCAAAGGAAATGTGTGATCTGGCATCCGAGGTACCCAGGTACAGCTGCTCACCCTGGGACTAGCGGGTACTGGCTGGTGGGCCTGAGCCCCACAATACGGAGGGACCTTGCAAGTTTGTCCTGGAAGGCGGTGGTTGAAATGTGAGGTGCCTGGGTCCAGGTCAAAATGTAGCTTTCTAGACCTGGAGGGAACTCAGGACCTCTTTCAAGTTTGACTTGTATCAAGATTTCTTGGTCTGGAGAGATGGGAGGCTGGAGAAGGGCTAAAATCTCTGCCAGGGGTCTGTGGGCAGATGCAGTCGGAGTTGAGGGACGGGGGCGGGGTGGGGGGCGGTTAGGTTGTATGGTAGGGGACTTTAAAAGTTGTATAGGCACTTTTCAGGGATATTGTATTTTATTCTATTTTATTTTTTATTCATTTAAAAAAATTTTTATTTATTTTTATTTTTTATTCATTTTTATTCACTCACCCCCACTCCCAAACCAAGAGTCCTTCCAGGAGGTAGGTGGTCTGAGGGGAGGTCTGCAATTTAAGCTTATGCTTTTTTGTCTCTGTGCTGAGTTCTCATTTACTCAACCGAAAGCACTTATAACTTTTTTCTCTAAATTTGGAGTCACTGTGGTTATAAAGAACAGAGATGAGATTCTAGACCTAAGAATATGGGAGAGCTACAATTTCAGGGACACTCAGGAAGAGCTGGACTTGACTAATATTGGAAGGAGAAGTGTTACTGTGTTGGGGCCTGGAAATAATCTTATGACTGCTTTTTTCCATGTCTTAGGGTCTAAGGATAACTCTGAGGCCATGACTGCCATGATTCTCACAGACGACTCCAGATTTCTGCATTCTAGGCAATGGCAGGTGCCACTGGACTTAATGTGAGACCGTTTTCTTAGAGGATGGCCAAGGGGCTCCTGATGACTTACGCCCTTTGGGCTGTAGGGGGCCTTGCTGGTCTCCACCACCTGTACCTGGGACGGGACAGCCATGCACTGCTCTGGATGCTTACCCTGGGCGGTGGTGGTCTAGGCTGGCTCTGGGAATTCTGGAAGCTCCCAAGCTTTGTTGCTCAGGCCAACAGAGCCCAGGAGCAGAGGCAGAGCTCAGGAAGGGGGATACCCCCTCTAAGTCTCATTCGCTTTGTTGCCCAGATGATAGTGGGCATCTATTTTGGCCTTGTGGCTCTCATTAGCCTTTCCTTCATGGCCAGCTTCTATATTGTGGGCCTACCACTGGCAGTTGGCTTAGGGGTCTTGCTGGTGGCTGCCATTGGCAACCAGACATCAGACTTAAAGAACACTCTAGGGGCCGCATTTCTTACTTCCCCTATCTTCTATGGCCGCCCCATAGCCATCCTGCCCATCAGCTTGGCTGCGAGCATCACAGCCCAGAAGCATCGCCGCTACAAACCTTCAGCTGGGTCAGAGACGCTCAGCGTGCGGCTCTACCGTCTGGGCTTGGCTTACCTTGCTTTCACAGGCCCGTTAGTGTACAGTGTGCTCTGCAACACAGCTGTCACCCTCAGCTATGTGGCAGATACTCTTGGCTCCTTCTTGAGTTGGTTCAGCTTCTTCCCCCTCCTTGGGCGCCTTTTGGAGTCTGTTCTCCTTCTGCCTTTCCGAGCCTGGAAGCTACTGGTAGGAGATCATAGCATCAGCAGCAGCTACTTCCAAGAGTGGGCGAAACTTTATGAGTTTGTTCACAGTTTTCAGGATGAGAAGCGTCAGCTGGCTCTCCAGGTAAGGTTTCTGCCCTCTCATTGCTGTCTAAGATGGCTCCAGGAGTTAGGCTAAGTCTCACTGGAGCTGGTGTGGAGGTACTGTTTTCATGTCTGCTGGGTCAGACCCCAGAAGGGTATCCTGACTTCTCTGGGCTTCTGTGTGCAATGAGTGATGGTTCAGTGACTCTAATAAGGAGTGGGAAAAGATATATGTATGTTATTTTCTTTTTACTGAGGTATAATATGTATATAAAGTACACTAATTTTATGTAGATACCTATTTAACCACCACTCAGATGAAGGTATGGAATACTTCCATAATTAATAAGGTTCCTTTGCGACTTCCCTGCCAGTCCAGTGGTTAAGACTCTGAGCTCCCATTGTGGGGGTCATGGGTTCGATCCCTGATCAGGGAACTAGGATCCTGTATGCTGCACAGCGCAGCCAAAAAACAAAACAAAACAAAAAAGGAGATTCCCTCATGCCCCTTCCCAATGTATACTCCTTTCCTGGGAAAGAATCTGTATTCAGACATTTATTACCATAGATTAATTTTGCCCATTCTTGGGCTTCATATAAATGGGAATCATCCGGTGTGTACTCTTTTGTGTCTGAGTTCTTTCATTCAACATTATGTTTGTGAAATTTACTCATACACGGGATTATAAATTGTTTTCATAGTTGTTTGATGTCCCATTATGTGAATATACCACAATTTATCTATCCATTCTATTGTCAGTGAACATTTGGATTAGCTGCTACAAACACTCTTGTACATGTCTTTGATGGACATATATGCTTATTTTGCATATATGTAAGGAGGAGACCTTGTCAAGGATGCCAAGTTCCATGTTGGAAAACGGGCATCTGTGATTAAAAGCAAATCCTGGTTCTTGCCATGAGATCTAGAACTTGTCCATGTTTCAGAAGGTTGGAATTCTAATCTGAGGCTGTCTGCCTTTCCTGCCAGCAAGTGGAAGCCAATTCCAGCCTGGTTTAGGAAGGTAGCGAGGAGAGATCCAGGAGCCCTGACAACTTATGAGGTTCTAATTTGTTGGCTTCTGTTTCCCTAAGGCTTTTGGTCTCTCAGAGGGGGCAACAAATGAAGAAATACATGGCAGATACCGGGAGCTAGTGAAGACCTGGCACCCTGACCACAATCGGCACCAGATGGAGGAAGCTCAGAGACACTTTCTGGAGATCCAGGCTGCGTATGAAGTCCTGAGGCAGCCCAGGAAGCCCAGGGGATCCTGGAGGTGGGAAGAAACTTCCCTTTGAGGTTGGACTGGCAGAGTTGGATCTCTTGTCCCAGCACAGCTTTGCCCAGTGAGGCATCCCAACAGTGTAAAAGAAACTGTCATTTGCAGTGTGTTCTCAGTTGCTCAGTCGTGTCTGATGCTTTGTGACCCTATGGACTGTAGCCTGCCAGGCTTCTCTGTCCATGGGATTTCCCAGGCAAGATTATTGGAGTGGGTTGCCATTTCCTTCTCCCAATCACTTGCAGTGGAGATGAGAAAGCCTTAAAGAGGTGAGAAAACTATTGTGATTTTGAATTTCTGAATTATTGGCTATTGTAGTCCTGACTTTTTTCTTAATCCACATAGTGAAATGAAAGACATATTATAAAACTAGCCCCTGCCCGACGCGCTTGAGCGGCCCGGAGACCGCCGCTGCCTCACTCGTCGGCTGGCCGGTGGTGCCTTTGAAAGGCAGCGGGAGGCAGCGAGCGCAATGGTGAGACTGGGTCGGCCTGCTGAGCGTGTTGGGCCTGGTTCTGTGCAGGGCAGCGGGCCTCGGTCTGAGCGCCCCTCCCGCGCCCACCCCCAAGAAGCCCATCATCGGAATATTAATGCAAAGGTGCCATAATAAGAACATGAAAGCCCTGGGAAAATACTATATTGCTGCATCCTACATGAAGTTTCTGGAGTTAGCTGGTGCGAGAGTGGTACCTTTGTAAGGCTTGATCTTGAAAATGAACAGTATGAAAAGCTTTTCAAATCTATTAATGGAGTCCTTTTTCCTGGAGGAAGCGTTAACCTTATGAGGTCAGGTTACGCTCGTGTGGCCAAAATGTTTTACAGCTTGTCCATAAAGAGTTTTGGTGAAGGAGACTATTTTCCTGTGTGGGGCACCTGCCTTGGATTTGAAGAGCTTATTTATCTGGTCAGTGGAGAGAGCTTATTAACTCTTACAGATACTGTTGGAATTAAACTGCCGCTGAACTTCTCTAGAGGTACATTGCAGAGCAGAATGTTCCAGAATTTTCCTGCTGACTTGCTGCTGTCATTAGCAGTAGAACCTCTGACCGCACATTTCCACAAGTGGCCGTGATGAATTTTACGAAGAATGAAAAGTTAAAGGCGTTTTTCAATATATTAACTACAAATACAGATGGCAATATTGACTTTATTTCAACCATGGAAGGATACCGGTATCCAATATATGGCGTCCAGTGGCATCCGGAGAAAGCTCCTTATGAGTGGGGGCAATTACAGGGCATTTCCCATGCACCTAATGCTGTGAAGGCTGTGTTTTATTTAGCAGAGTTCTTTGTGGCTGAAGCTCGGAAAAGCAATCACCATTTTGAATCTGATGTTGAAGAGAGCAAAGCGCTAATTTATCAGTACCATCCAATTTACACTGGAAACGTTTCTTCGTTCCAGCAAAGTTACATATTTGATTGAAAGGCTTCTCTGTGTTAACAGGAATTCTGATTAATTCCCTGAGTAAACTGTTATAATAATGAAAAACGTGCTACTTGTGGCAGTAATAGGTCACAAAGATGCCTTTTCTGTGATGTTACTGACTCTTGATTCTTCATTCAGTATTTTTGTGTATCACATTTGATAATCAGTGAGACAGATAAATAATCATAGCGTATTTCATGGAAAAGCTTTGTTTTATTTAAAGATTAGGAAATAAATTTATTGAAAATACAAAAAAAAAAAAAAGAAAGACATATTATAAAACCAATAAAATATCTTTTAGAGACTAGACCACCTGATTTCACCTCTGGTATAGTGATAGATCATGGAGGAGGTTTACTTAACTTTCTTTATGTGCAAACCACCGAGTGAGGTGATTGAAGGAAAATATAAGGGTTCTAACATTTCACAAGATGTCTTGTAGCAAAAGTATTTGATCTTTTCTGTAGACTACCAAGGTGTAAGACTGGGGTTAAGTTTGAAAAGGCTGGAATTCTAATCTTTTCAGGAAAATACTTAAATTTCGGTTATAGGAGAACTTTTTAGAAGCTGTACTTTTCCAAAGAAGGAACAAGTTGCTGTGAGGTGGGGGATAATCCCCCCATCACAGACCCTTCTGCTTGGAATATTGTGGTGAACTTTCAAACTTTACACAAATGGTTGGACTGGCTGAATTGTCAGGTCTTCTTGAAACTTGGGATTTGATTCTGAGCTATACACCCTGCTCCCTAGTCTTTTCCAGTCTGGTGGGGGATAATAACAACAGGTACACATATTGAAGACTGCCTTGTTCTGTGTTTTGAACTGTGTCCTAAGAGGTGTAAACAGAATGTGTTAGAAAATTGCAGAAGGGATAGATGATACTGTTTTATGGGGACTTATGGGAAAATTCATGATTTTATATTTCATATGTCTTTGTGGGACTTTGGGGAAACCCTAGGGAACCAACAGCTTGAACATCTCAAGGGGGCCTTATCTCATTCCCAGTTGTAGAAGGAACAGCCCAGGATGCCTCAGTTTGAAGAGGAAGCCTGGAGATCAGGATCATGATAGTAAAGTTATGTACCTTTTCTCCAGCTTTCTTTATTTGTGTGTACCACCCTCACACTTTCCTGTTTTCTGAAAGTTAACTCTGAGTAGTATGTGTGTTTTTAAAAAGCAGAATTACTTTGGCTTGTATTCCCTACTGAGTAAAAAAATGGCCCAATCAATTGAGAGGAATGACATTTATAGATGTTTTTTCTTTGCATCCATATATATAAAATACTACCCAGTGAATTTATGTACTACAATTTTAAGGCCAAATTTAACTTTCACACCTTTTTCTTTTACTTTTTTGTTTGTTTTTTGTTTTTTTACTTTTCTGTTTGTTTTTTGAAGTCGGAATTGCTTTTTTTGGGGTGAGCTCGGCAGGCCTGCTGTGGTCAGGTTCTTCCCTCGGAGAAGGAAAAAAAAGCCTGCTGCCTCCTCCTGCCACCTACCTGAGTTAGTGGAACATGCAAAGCTCAGAGGAGCTGCCAGGGCCTGGGGGCGATGGAACAGGAGCGGGTGGCACCAGCTGGGCTGATTTGGTCAGCACGGACCGCCCAGGTGGTGTCCTGAGCCCACACAGGGGCTGAGGCTCCCTGGGAGAGGCGGGCAGGCAGGCAGCACCCCAGGGTTGGGGGCCCACAGGCCTCGGGTGGGGGCGGGGTGCTGGGGTCACAGTAAGCAGAGGCCTGCAGGATCCCAGCCGTATCTGGCCAGCATGCCAGAGAGCTGGGCAGTGACGAGCCTTTCATCAGCAGGGTCTGTCTCCTACCCTTGGTCTGGGTCCTTGGGGCCTGGGGGACACAGAAGGTACTTACTAGGGAGCTGAGACTGGAAGGCTAAAGCCAGAGGCCTGGGGTCTTGGGGGCCTGGCTGGGTCTGCTAGGGGACCTCATCTTCCCTGAGGAAGGGGCTTCCTGAGCAGACTAGAAGAGGCAGCACAGCCTGCAAATCAGCTGGTTGGTCCTGAAGACCTGAGAGTAGCTACTCCGGAACGGTGGGGCAGGGAGAACCTTGCCCAGAGGGATCCTTGGGGAGATGGGAGGGCTAAGTTGTTTCTTTTAATTTACTCAAATGTTTCATCATATCAAGTTATTTCTCTTTTTTTGTCAGTATTTTTTATTGAAGTATGGTTTATAATATTTAATAATAATAATAATTTATAATATCACACTTTAAAAATTAATTAATTCCTTTTTGGCAACACTGTGCCTTCATTGCCGTGAGAGGGCTTTGTCTAGTTGCGATGCCTGGGCTTCTCATTGCGGTGGCATCTCTTGTGGCAGGGCGCTGTCTCTAGGCATGTGGGGTCTAGAGTTCGGGCTCAGTAGTTGTGACTCACCAGGCTAAGTTGCCCTGAGGCATGTGGAACCTTCAAAGACCAGGTATTGAACCTGTGACCTTAACCACTGGACTCCCAGGAAGTCCTGTCACACCTTTTTAAAGTGGCCAAAAAAATTGATGTATATATTTTCTTTGAAAAACACAATTCTTCAAATTATCATGTGGAATTTTAATAAGCCATTTTCATAAGCTATTAGTAGTTTATTAACATGATATGTAGTACTATATCTGTAAAATATAAATATATTAAAAATAGTCTATAAGGAAAAAGAGACAAAAGAGTGATTGGGGTTTGCTTGATTTGTAAAATTATTTTACTATTCTCAAATTTTCTTATGAGTTTTTGTTACAAAAATACATTTCAGTTTATTTAAATGAGAACTGTTTATGAGCAGTTTCTATTTTTCCCACATGAGCAATGCTACAGTAAATATCTTTAAACGTGTACTGGGACTTCCCTGGTGGTCCAGTGCAAGGCACATGGATTTGATCCCTGGTCCAGGAAGATCCCACATGCCTCAGGGCACCTAAGCCTGTTTGCCACAACTACTGAGTCCATACTCCCTATAGAAGAGAGAAGCCTGTGCACCACAACTAGAGAACAGTTCCTGCTGGTCACAGCTAGAGAAAGCCCAGGCACAGCAAGGAAGACCCAGCTCAGCCAAAATAAATAAATAAATAAACATGTGTGCTGATGCTTTTTGTTTTTCTGAGGCTAGATTCCAATAAGTGATAAAGTAGGATCAAGCAGAATATATGTTTTAATACCTTGATTGCTATTATATCAGGTTACTTTTGGAAAAGACTAACAATCTACACTTTTACCCGCAGTACAGGTAGTCCTTTCTTTGTTACTGGTATGTACTGTTACCTCTTTTCAATTTTTTGCCAAGGTGATGGGTGAGAGATAGTATCCGAAGACTTCAATCTGCTTTTCTGTGACTTCTAGTGAAGTTCAGTATCTTCGCACAACATTTTAAAAAATTTGTTTTCTTTTGTTTGTTTTAATTTTGGCTGTGCTGCCACTGCAATAAGAAGCCCTTGCACCACAACAGAGTAGCCCCTGCCGGCTGCAACTATTAACAGTAGAAAGCCCATGTGCAGCAACGAAGACCAGCAAGCCAAAAATAAATAAATAAAAAGAATCTTCCCCTCTTAGTGGGAAATACTGTTTGGTTAAACCATCTTCGCATTTCATCTTCGCTCTTGTCCTAGCCTGTGAGCATGTACTGAAATTGAGTGCTTGCCAGAATTAGGCTACCTACCTACCCACAGTGGACATCTAGATATTCATGTATCTAATCCTGTAGCCCAGCCATTTTTTGAAAATAAAGAAATGGTACAAGTCACATGAATTTGGAACCTCTGGAAGAAAATTCTGCTTTGCCACCAAACTGGAACATTATAATCACTTAAGACTTTTCTGAGAATGTACTTCCTAAAGACCCTGACATAGTGAAAATCAGCTGAAAGTAGAAATTCACTATGAAATAATTATTTTTAAAAAACCAACTAAGATATTAGCAGGTGAGAGATCTTCTTTTTCTCTACCTGAGTTGATATAAATGAAATCCAATGATGTTGTATTCTCCCACTCCTACAAATAAAAGTGTACAGAACCTTTAAAAAGTTGGAATCAAACTGAGAAAGCCTCTCCCCCAAGTACTCATCTGGTGCAGCACAGGGTCTAGAGATGACCCAGAGGTGACCATCTTCCCAGAGATGACCATTCTGGCTTCTGAATTAATTGGAAATCCCATACCTGTCCCATCTTTTGGGCATCCTTAATTGTTATTCTTTTTTAAATTTTTTATTTATTTTTTAATTGAAGGATAATTGCTTTACAGAATTGTGTTGGTTTCTACCAAACATCAACATGAATCAGCCATAGGTATTTTGTTGTTCTTTTATTGCACTGAAATTTGCTTCCCTGAAATTTTTTTCTAGATCTCCCATTTCTTGTTACAAAGAACAAAAGCCATTAAGAAAGCTTTTTAAAACATATATATATATTTATTTTTATTCACTTATTTGGCTGTACCAGTCTTAGTTGCAGCATGCGGGATCTAGTTCCCCAACCAGGAATTGAACCTGGGGCCCCCTGCATTGGGAGTGAGGAGTCTTAACCACTAGACCATCAGGGAAGTCCCAGGAATGCTTTCTTGATAAGAACTTGTCCTTCCCTTCATACCCCTCTAAATTTTCCCTTTTCTAGATTAAAGATTGTCTTGTTTAAAGATGCACTGTAGTTTGATAGAAAGAGGATGGATGGAGAAGTGAGAAGATAGGGTTTTCCTTCTACCTCTTGCATGACCAGCCTGCTGACTTAGAATGAGCCACTTTACTATTCTGGGCCTCAGTTTTTTCTTTGTTAGGTGAGGAAATTGAATTTAGATAACCTTTAAGATTGCTTTCCACGCTGGATTCTGGGTTTTTGTTTGGATGAGGCTTGTGTTAAATAGTTTGGTTTGACATCTCTCTGCCCTCTTGTGGACACTGTCTTGGGAAAAAAATAAAATATTTACTTATTCAAAGAACAATATCACGGCCACCCCCAATCAAAAATTCACCTGTATCAAACTGTCTGTTTTCATTTATTCATGTTCTCTTTTAGTCCTCATCCATAAATGTACATACCATATCAGGGATATAATCTTATAGTTTTTCCCTTCCCTAAATCATAGGCATTGATATATATTACTAGGAAGATGTCATATGTGTATATATATATATATGTATATATATATATATTTTTTTTTACTGAGCTATAACTCACATACCATAAAATTTACCCTTTTAAAG